GAAAACATCCATACCACCCCCACGGAGGAAATTAGAAGTTAACCCCCCTACCCCCTCTGGATATCCTATTGTCTGAGTTGGTGTTTCATTTGTTCCATATTGAAAAGAATGTTATATGCCTCTCCAATGTTTGCACATATCGAATAATCAAGATTCATATTTACTAGCAACCGTTGTAAAAAATCAAGTTTCAGCATAAGCTCTTGGTAGTCTACATTAGTGTCTCGAGACTGTGAAAATGGTCGATGGAATTTATCACATAAAAAATTGCCTGTAGCAAGTATTGTTTGTCTTCTTCCTCCATTTTGAAAACATAATAAATGAGCCCGGGAACAACAAAGACATTGGATTGCGGTTGGGTATCAAAAGTTGGTCTTCAAAAGTTGGTCTTCAAAAAATAAGTTGTGTTTTCAACCGATAAACCGGTGATCTTCAAAAACAATGTTATTTTAATGAAATGAATATGATCCTCAAAATATCATATAGTGAAATTCAAAAGTTGATTTTTGCAGACATGGGGCACCATACATTCACAGCTGACTAGTCGCTGCAAGTAATCACTGTGCTTGATATAATTTGTGCTATTTACTGTAGTTCTATTTGCTTTTAATGCCCGCAGCAATCCCTACCTTGCAGGTACCCTAGTATTATACCTTTTATCGTCCTCCCGATTCAAAAGCCCCAATTTGGGGCGGCCTGCCACAATACCTTACTGACGAACTGGAGAGTATCCAGACTAGAAGCCTGAAAATTATGGGTCTACCTTCTGATTCTCTTCAATCTCTAGAACAACGTCGGGATAAACTTTCCATTCACGAGTATGAGAAAATCATTAATGATGAAACACACCCATGCAAGAAGTACATACCAGACATGGTGACGAACAAGTATGACCTAAGAACACCAAAAACTCTTCCCGGAATTTTCTCATACACTAAAAGGCATGAACTATCGTTCATTTCCAGAACAAACTCATTATTATAGACAATATTTTTATAACTATCTGTACATATAACTACTAGACTACTACTTAGATTTTTTACTGTAAATCCATTGTATTTTTACACTAAAGATGGATAACAATAAAACTATTAACTACTATAAAACCAGAACCTTTTCAACTTCTTAATACATCTCTTCAGAGCATCAGCGAGTCAAGTTGCAGCATTGTCGTTGGTGATTTTAATCTCCCAAAAATAGACTGGTCATATGATAATGCATCGCCAATTAACAATGGAGAACAAACTATTGGTGATATCTTTTGCAAACTTGTTGGTGATAATTTTCTATATCAGTTCATAGATGGCCCCACACACACAGCCGGGAACAAGCTAGATCTAGTTCTGTGTAACTACCCTGATGTAATCGATGATGTAAAAAATGTGATTTCCAAACAGATCACTCCATAATCGATTTTAATATCAACCTGGACTTTCAACGGACTAAGCCTGTAAAGCGCAAGGTTTATCACATGAAAAAAGCTGACTTTGAAGGTCTAAACATAAGTCTCGGTGAAATGGGTCTGAAAGTTGAAAACACTGGTGATATTGATCAACTGTGGTCCTCCTGGAAAGATGCATTCCTGGCAGCTGGAAAAGATCATATTCCAACTAGAACTGTAAAAGATACAAATTCCCCTCCCTGGGTTGACAACAAAGTTCGCAATTTTATTCGCAAGAAATACTTGACATTGAAAAAGTACCATCAGAACAAAACTGAAACAAGAAAACGAAAGTTGAGAGAGCTTAGTAAGATTGTCAAGTTACTCGTGAAAAGAAAACATAAAGAATATCTATCTAAAATAGAGAAGTCTTTCTCAACTAATCCTAAAGTTTTCTGGTCTTACGATGAAGCCATATTACATCATCGGTCGAAACAGAGCACCAATATCACATACAATGGCATTATGGCAAAATCACCGGCTAAGAAAGCTGAGCTTCTTAATCTATACTTTACCTCAGTGTTTACAAAACCGAGTAGTGAAATCAATGGAGATGAGGTTGAATATGAAGATATTTCAAATGTGACAAACATTGGTCAATTGCAAGTGAGTGTGCAGGAAGTTAATTCGACCTTAGAAATTTAGATGCGACAAAAACCTGTCGCCCGGATGGAATACCAGCACGCATTCTTAAAGAATGTAGTTGTAGTATTGCACCAAGTCTTTGTGAATTGTTTAATTTATCTTTACATGTTGGACGACTGCCCATTGAGTGAAAAGCAGCTAACTTGACAACAGTTCACAAGAAAGGCTTGAAAGAACCAGCAGAAATTTACTGGCCAATATTTCTTTTGCCCATTATCGCTAAACTACTGGAACGTTTTGTATGCAAACAACTTTACGGACATGTAATTACCTATATTTCCCTCAGTCAACATGGATTTCTGCATAACCGATTATGTATAGATTGGAGAAAATCTTGATAAGAATATACAAACTGACATAATTTATTTAGATTTTGCAAAAGCCTTTGACTCTGTTGACCATGGTATAATCTTGGCGAAACTCAAGCAACTTGGTGTCTGTGGATGCATTCTTGAATGGTTCAAAGACTACTTAACTGACAGGACACAAAGAGTTGTCATTGATGGTGTTGCCTCAAGTTGGTCTTCTGTTACATTGTTTGTTGTTTGTCTTATTTATAAACGATTTACCGAACATCATTCCTGAAGACTCAGATGCTGCCTTGTTTGCCGACAATGCGAAGACTTTCCGAAAAATAACATCAGAGGTCGATGCTCAACATCTACAACAAACCTTAACACACCTAACCACCTGGAAACACCAATAACATCAAATTCAATGAATCTAAATGCAAAGTGTTAACTGTGTCCTGCAAAAAGAAACCCACCAGCTTTGCTTACCACCTTGGCTCAACGAACCTCCATCACGTTCAAGAAGAAAAAGATCTTGGAGTAATTATGACTGGAAATCTGTCATGGAATTCCCATGTTCAGAGCATAACATTAAAAGCCAACAAACTGTACTTCAAAGAACACGCCCCCTCCTTACTGATGTCAGAGTTCGGCGCACCCTGTATCTGTCCCTTGTTAAATCCCAACTATGCTATGCCAGCGAGGTTTGGTCTCCACACATCCATGCCCAAAAGATCAAGCTGGAGCAGGCACAGAGGCGAGCGACCAGATGGATGTTGAGACAATGTAAAAGTGATTCCAGCTACAGTGAACGTTTGACAAAATTTAAATTATTGCTGTTGTGTTATGATCAAGAGATCTGATTTTTTTGTACAAAGCCCTTTATGGTATAACCAACCTTGATGTCCACAACTATGTTTTCTTTTGTTCCTCACAACCGAACCCATCACAGCAACAATCCAAACCTCATACTCAAGACTCCCTGCTGCTATACATCTACCTAACCAGGCACCATACTTCAATCGAATTGTGAAACTGTGGAACTGTGTTTGCAGTTCAGCTACACGAGATACTTTCTCTTGTTTAAGAACATTCAAGAACTATCTTTATGAACATTATTCTAATTTAATATTTTCTGTTTTTGATGTTAATTTGTTATGTACTTGGTCAAGGTCACGTAATTGTCCTTGTCATCGAATTTGACTGTCTTATGTTTTTTGTATTGTAATTTATTGTTTTGTATTTTTGTTTTGTTAGGTGCCTCGCATGGGTAGTTTTTTTTAATAAACATCTCATTTGCACCTCTACCAATTGGAATGAATTTGTTTGTTTGTTTGTTTTAAGCTAACATTATTATTATTATTATTGTAGTAATCGATCTTGTAATATCGGTATTTGTATTCATACCCAATAAAAACCATCAAAAAACAAGTTTAACATATTACCTTGTCTTTGCCTCTAGCTTGGTTTCCGTGTCTTAACAACTCATCTATTGCTAACCTACATTCTCGTCCAGTCATTTTCGTTTGTTCTTGTGTTAATACATACATAGGTTATCATTTTTTTAGTTTTGGCTGATCAAGTTTTTCTTTTCCACATGAACAGAGCAATTTTCTATTTATTACTTTGTCTGGTTTAAGTATAACTATAACTCTATAACTAATTAGCTGCTAAGTTTCCAGCACTTGATCTTTTTGGTTTAAGTGGAGTCTGCTAGCATAGCATCTTTCACTACCGGGTTGATATTGGTGGCACTTCTTACATCGTTCATTCAGGGGATTGTTTATTTGCATCGCCAGCATTGGGATAAGTTGTGGCAGTGGACTTCGTCTTGAAGCAATTTCGTCGACAGTGCCAGTGGGGTTCTCAACAGCATCAGGTTGGGTGTGAATTTCAAGTAGCAATAAAATGACAAATAGATTTTCACAGAATTTGATTGAGTTTCCTCATAATTTCGGCACTTTTGTCTTTTTGTATGATCTGGAGCTGTGTTGACTCTGTAGGAACAGATACTGGAATTTGGAATGACGGGTTTGGCTATGTCTTATCAGGCATTTCTATCAATGTAGAGCAGGCAACCTTTTCTGTTGATTGGTTCATCGGAAACTATTGATTGGTTGTTGTCCATAAAGTCAAACTCCTCCCGCGATAGGCTACCTGTTGATTCGTTTTCATCCGTATTGATGACCATAACAGGTTGAATTTGATCGTCATCGCTATCTGGTTCTGAACAATATTCGGATGATTCGATGGAAAGTTCTGAAACTGTACCAGCCACCTCATCAGTTTCCATTAGCGTGACCGGTACAAGGCGTGTAGGGGCATTACCGATTTTAACCAGAACTGCGGGATTCTATTAACATATAAGTTACAGAAAAAAGGAAAGACCTGGTTCAAACGTCAAATTTTGCATGTATTTCGAATACATGTCTTACTTAAAGCACTGAAAAATATTAGACTTTTCAATAACACTACATGTCGTCTCTTGTTTTGTGAGCCCCACCCAAAGATATACTTTTCTTTCTCTTGTTTGACTTTGCCTGTTGCCTTTTTCCTGCAGCATTCGACAACTTCGGTCTTTTGCCTCTGGTGGGATGGATTCGGCGTTTTCATCTTCCGATTCATCAATTTCTATCAGCAGTTCATGGTGCAACTCTTCCCTTGTCAATCTTAAGAATTTCTCCTCAGCTTGATTCACAGAAGAATAATCATCTAAAGTATAAATTAAATTATAAATATATATTATATAAATTGTTAATGTTATGCACTAGTCAATTGAAACCCCGACCCCCGGGGATATGCAGGGATTTTAGTAATTATTTCATGAGTGTTAAAATCCCGGATTAAAAATGTTGCTCAATTGTTAAATTACCCGGCTGGCCGAGTCGAAATTTCTAATTTTACCAAGCTATAAAGTATTGCATTTATGAATCCACATTTCTGTTAATATACTTACCAGCATAAGCATTTTGACACTGACTTTGGTTTTCTTGTAAATAATTTGACAGTGACAGAGCAGAGTGCCAGAGGAATGTTTTCCTAATTGCTGGGATGTACAAGGGCCGGTTGTATGAAAGGTGGATAAGTTATCCAGTGGATAAGTCCTATCCAATGGATAGCTATCTGTCGAATAAAAATGTGTTGTACGAAGCACAGATAGCAGGGTGGATAGCTATCTGTTGGATAACCTTAATTTTAACCGAAAAAAACGGATTTTCTTGAAATTTCTTATCTCTACGTCAGCTGTTGCTACGTATTTGTAAACTTTTGTTGTAGTACTAGACTACTAGTATCTTCGTATAACTGCGGTTAATAGAAATGGGATGGTTAGGCTGGCGGCAAAACTTCAAAGGTGGCGGCAAATGATGTTGGGGATCAAAGGAAAAAATA